CCCCAAAACCCCAAAACCCCAAAACCCCAAATTGAATTATAGATGGCTAGATATAAGAAATATTATTTGAATTCGAAATTGATATTCTCATACATATGATACTGATCCCCGAATCTCTAATATGCTTATTCTATTTTTGTTTATTTCTTAAATGAGGACTTCCTATGTACTAAAAATGTCATTTCGCTTCGTTTCCTTTTAGAAGAGAATACTTAGCTCCTTTTGAAGTTTCATCATCCAAATTGTAATTCTTTAGTTCCTGCTCTTCTTGAATGATGCTGGCTCTTTTTGAATAAGCCTGCTTAATTGTTCCTGATTTTTGAAGTCCATCAAACTGATATAAATTATCACTTGACCCAAAGTATCTCATCTTAGAGGATAGTTTAGGTCTTTAAGATGTTTGAGATTTGACTCCAATACTCCCTCTTAGAGATCCATGCTTCACATAATGTCTCTCTAGCTCTTCTCCTTAGTTCATCAGCATTTAATTATATTCTTTTTATCTCTTATGCTCAAGATGAGCGTACTTGTATATGAGAAATGGCTTCATTTTTTCTTAGTCAAATCTCCTAATTTTATCTGTAAAACTCAGTTGCCCGGATTTTTAATTCTAAGTTTCATATGGTACTTTGCTCTCTTACAAATTAGGATGTTCAACAATCTCATGATGACTGTTTTCATGACCACTCTTGCCATCATTATTGTGCTCCTCCTAATGGGGTTCACTAGCAATTTCTTTTCCAAAAAGGCATCTCTGAATAAGTGCTACTGTAGAGCCCATAAAAACAGTAGTAAATACTACCAATCCAAGAGATGTAGTAACTATTACTGATCTGTTTGGAACATCTTTGTCTATTCTGAGCACAAGACCGAAAGCTACAGCACCTCTTATCATTCCAGCATAAGATATAAAAGTGAGTTCTCTTATTCCGATTCCTGACTTGTACCCGAATAATCTATAGAATTAAATCAGCAAAGATCTCTTACTCCAAGAATTTGATCAGACCTATTGTTCCAGAAAATCTTCCAATTAAGACAACTATTACTTCTCCAATAAATAGTTGCCATGACCATTCGTATGTAACATAAGAGAAAAATGTGAGCCCAAGGTAACCAAAAACAAAAGCCTCAGCAGCATAACCTATCATGCTAAAAGCTAGAGATGTAGTTTATTTTGACTGAGGAGAGAGATTGTACCAGCAATATTTAGCTAGCAAAATGCCACAAGCAAGTAGTGAAATGATACCAGACATTTCGCATCTTTCAGATATAGTGTAAGCCAAGTATCCAAAACAAAATATGAAATTGCATTCTATTACCGGTTTTACTGTTAAGAATCGGCAATGCTTTGTCACAAAAGCACCAAGCAATGCCACAAATATTCCAATAAAGAGCGAAAAGAAACCGAGAATCAAGAAACTATAAAAGATCTTTAAAGGAGTAGTAGCAGTGAAAGAATTCCCTGGTGCAGTAAATTAAACAACTGCGTTGAATAGAATTATACTGATTGCATCGTTAGTTACTCCCTCTCCGAAAACTAAACTAAATAATTTTGGCTACTTTTCTGAATTAATCAATGATACTGCTGCGACAACATCGCTTGAGCAGAGAAGCGAACACATAAGTAATATCTCAAATATGCTCAGTTCGAATTGTTCATAGGTCCTATTAAAAGGTTAAGATACATAAAGGGATAGTAATTATGTTTAATCTTACCCTGTTTCGCCATGATATTTATAAAAAGTTTAATATTTGAACATCAACCAAGTGAAAACTGAAAATAAAGTAAATTGAATAACAGTATTGACAAGTCCAAATATCAATATATTGTTAAAATTATCAAAGAAATTTTTCCTTTGCATGTTATATCCTGAGGCAAAGACTAAGGGTGGTAAGCAAAAGTAGAAAAAGAAGTTTTCATTAAAAGTTAGAAATTCAGTGAGCTCTACATGTCCTAATTTGAATGCTAAAAATGATACAAGCATTCCTAATAGAATGGCTAATGCAGCTTCATGGCCTATAATGATTTTATACCTCTCTATAACTGATCCTATAAACATATAGAACATGATCAGTAACACAATTAGGATAGCTCCTGAACTTAAGCTATGTTCTGACATTTGATTCTGATTTAAATTAATAAGATTAAAGTGAAATTATTCTTTGATTATGATAATCTTATTAAAGAAACAAATGTATCAATTAGATTTTTTTGAATTATGCTTGTTTTCCTATTGATGCTTTAACTACGGGGTTTTGGGGTTTTGGGGTTTTGGGGTTTGCATTACATCTTTTGGTTGGC